CAATCGAAAGTAATTCACCAATGGTTTAAAAAAAATTATGAAGTTCAGCCTACTAACATAAGAATTGAATTCACTGATCCTCCTGGACTCAGTGTTCATCAAGACAGAAATATCTTTTTTTCTACCTCAAATTATACAGTAAAAGCTTCCGAAGAATTAGATCAAGCTCAAAGTTGCAATATTCAAGAAGGTTGTTTCTATAATAACCCAATTCGTATAAAAGGAAGGGCTGCTGTTTATAAGAATATTACCACTATTGAAGCACCATGCAGTCCTCCTTCTCCTGATTGCAGAAAGTTAGTATATCCTGGTTCTCAAGAAGATTATAATAGAATTAGTTACATATATGATTATCGTGAAGGTAATACAACACTAGTATTCACAAAAGAAGGGCTTAACAGATTTGATGTACTTAATGAAGATGTCAACAAAAATTATACATCTGACCCGGCTTCTCTTTACACAATTGATATCGTGCTAACATATAAGTTTGATGCAAGTTCAATGGTTTTTCCAATTCCAAGTTTTATGGCCCACACTGAATTTAAGTTGTATGGTAGGAATTATAGTAGAATTGCACCATGTGGCAAATTCAAGTTACGTGATGAAAGTAGCAGAGTTGTTAGTAGATACATAATTACTGATGATAGTATTGATGGATGGATTGAGGATAGAAATACTAGTCAATCTAGTGTTACTTTTAGTATTATGAATTCCAATTGCACTATTAACAGTACTGCTAGCTACAGTAGTACTATAATAAATCTCTGGCGAAACGATGATTCTCCTCAACAAATATTAACTAACACTATTACTTTTTCTCAAGAGAGTATTTCAAAGCGAAAAAAAGCCTTAAGTATAAATATGGGTAAATGTTTTATCGGCAATAAACTAAGCTTAACAGGAATAAACAATCTACTTATTAACAATGCTCAAGGTTATGATAACGATGGCAGTATATCATTATCATCAACTATAGGGAATTTTTATATTACCTCGTTAAAAAATATTAAAGTTGAGAACTATCTGACAAGTTTATACGTAAGTGATAACACCTTTTCGAATATAACATATTCAAAGAGTGGAACAAATATGCAAGAAAAGCAAGTCGATCATTATAATCTACGTGGCGTTGATTATATGGAACAAGTGTTAAATGGTATGTACATAATTCCTAAAAGCTTCAAATTTTTATATAAACTCTATTTTTCCAATAATGAGACATCATTTGAATTTGAAAGAAAAGACAAAATATTGATGGAACGTAAACTTATATTTAATGTTCAAGGAAGTTTTGGTGATGGAAACAAAATTGGAGTTTGGAAAATATATGATGATACTAGCAGTAGCTTCATAATTAAAGAAAATAAAGGTAATGTTATAAAAACTATTCTATTGCATAGAAAGAAACAAAATAAATTAGACTTAAATTTCCTAGTTCTTGATGGTGTTATAATGCGTAGTAATTCTAATAATACAATTGAAGATACTGTAGTCGTGGGAAACAATAGCATAGACTATGAAATCTATTATAATTCTGAACATTACCCTAAAGGTTATGTTCTTGTTTTTTCTAAACTTTTTAGCAACAGTAGTATCTATCATATTTTTCCTACTGCTACGAGAAACAGCTTTAATGTTAATGGCATTAATTATGCTGTGAAAGGAAACAACTTTTATGCAATTGCTAATCCAGGCAAGGTAATTGATGGTGATAAGCTAATATGGGAAAATAGTAAATTGGATACAAAAAAAATAGGTATTTGGTTTAAAGGAGGAGCTGATAATGTACATGAGAACATATCTACAAGAAATGGTAGTTTTTCAATTAATAACACTACTCTTGTAAACTTACCAGATGATACTTTGATTAGCTTTGGAGAAGGTGGCGCCTTTCCTATAATTTTATTTAATAAGTTAGTTAAAGTTGAGGTGTCAACCGCTAGCGTAACTACTTCAGTACAGTTGCCAATGAATTTTACTGATATAAAGTCTATAACAGGTAGTGATGGACAGAAATTCAGCTATTCTGGAAATAATGAAAGTTTTGGAATAAGTAAACTAGCATTAGTTAATACTACTGATGGGTTATTGATATTTCCAGCAGAAAATAATACTATACAGTTAACCAAAATAACAAATAAGCCTATTGTACCAGATGAGATAAATGAGTTACGTAATATATCTAATTCTAATTTAAAAATCTCTATGAAAAGATTATTCACTAGTGATGCTAGTGCTATCATAAGTAATAGTAATAATACTTTCCATGCAAAAAAAGAAAATCATAATTATTATTGGGAAACTGCATTTGGTGTAGCCAACAATCTTTATCTCTTTAGCTCTAAAAATTATACAAATGTTATAATTGTTAATGCATTTGGTATATTGGATTTCACAGCATTAAACATTAGTAATATAACATTCAAAAATGAGGATTATCGTTTGTTTTTTAATAAAGATAACTTCTCTCTAATTTTAGATAACCCTTATGAAAATCTAAAGGTTAAATATATTGACGATGAACATTATGAAGTCAAGCAAACAAAGAATCTAAAGAATCAAGTTAAAACTAGTTACCTTACAGCTAACGAGTTACATGCTATTGATCAAGAGCTTAGCAAATTAAATCCAATAATTGTTAATGGTTTAAAATATTTGTGGATTATTGCTGGAGATGTAAATGAGTTTAGTATGTACGAATGTTTTGGCTTTGGATCTTTAAAAGATCAAGATAAGTTTAAAGAGGAAATGAGAACAAGAAATATTAGTACAAATGACTTAGTTAAAAAGATATTACCATGTTCCGAAGTTTCAGAAACTACCGTATGGCTAATAGTAAAAAGCTATAGTAATTTCTTTCTAACAAAGAATGTTCACTGTAGTGGAGAATTATCTAAAAGTGTTAGTCAATGTTTTGGAAAAGTAATTGATTCAAGAATAGTTCGTCGTTTAATAAGGAATCTAGAAAATAATGATGACAATAATAGTATAACGTATAAAGTAGAAAGGTTTATTAGGCATCATCAACAAGAACTACAAGATAATATACGAAATAATACTTTACATCTTCTACGCATAGACGGGCAAGAAGTTCATGAGACTACTCTAGATTGTACTAATCTTACTTATGTAGAATTAAGTACACAAATTAGTAATGAAACTCAACCTAGTAGTTCAGTTTTGCATGTTAGACAGAAAAGGTATATAAAGGTACCATACTACAAAATATATGAGATTATTCCTTTATATCAAAAAATAGCTTTGTTATCTGCAAAAGATGATATGCAAGTTAACAATCAGAATAATACAGAAGAAGAGAGAGGAATAATTTTAAGATGGCAAAATGATGATCTAATAAATAAGCAAGACTTTGTATCTTCAAGTGCATCTAGGCCAGGGTTTTGGTTAGCGGAATTAGCAAGAGGTATAAAATCAGTAGTAATGGATACGGCTAAATATTTAGATCCTAACTCCTTTGGTGATATAACACAATCTCTGCCTGTTTTGGATAGCTCCATATCTTTAAAAGCACAGAGCAATATGTTTATTAACACTGCTCACCATGATATACCAAGATTGAGCACTCATACTAAATATGATAATGACCATGAGAATTTTCCATCGCCTAGTACCAAGGATCAGAAATTAAATTGTGTACCTTATGCTTGGGATGCTGATAGTCAAAAGTACGCTACAAATGTTATGAGTTGTATATCGCCTAGTGGTCAAGTTAAGGTTTTTAGTAATATTCACCAAGAAACTAGTTTCGTCCAAACTAAAAGTTACAGTATATCAGGAGATAGTTATAGAGACTGTCGTCCTGTTGAATTTTATGGACGTCCATCTGTATATTGTGAAGGAGAACAAACAAATATGGTTTATACTCCGGATATTCAATATCGTTTGTTTAACAACTTAGATAGTAATTTGATGTTAGGATCTGTTATCTGGCATCAAGTGAGAAAGTTATATCAATGGTATACACAACCAGCTACCATGAAAGAAGATGAGCCAATTGTTGAGATAACTTTTCAACAATTGCATAACTGGCAAATCCTGGTTAATAATATTGAAGAATTATTAACATATTTAGCATCTAGATTAGGCAACAATAAGCTACAATGGGCTAATAACATTTTAAAGGATCGCTTGAGAGAAATATATAAGCTAAGTGAACTTAGTACTGCTAATATGGAAACAGTTACAGAATTAACTGAAAACCTTAAAGTACTACATAATGATCTGAAAGACTTTAAAGAGGAATTGTTGTTATCACAGAAACAGTGTTCAGCAGAGTCCTCTATGTTTTCTAAGTCAACTCAAGATAAATCTACAAGTGTCAATAAGGATGATTATTCTGCTATAATTTTAGCAATTAAGGATAATGATATAGTTCAAGTAGAGAATTATCTTAGAGAAGGGAAAGATGTTAACGCATGTTCTAAAGGAGGTATGACTCTGCTTATGAGAGCTGTTACTGTTGCAGTAGATGTTGGGCAAGGAGTTGAAGCGTATAAGAATGATAAGAAGTATGATATAATAAAGCTGCTCATAGAGTACGGAGCTGATGTTAATGCAGAGACTAATGAGGGAGAAACTGCCATTAATTTTGCTTCTAGTAATGGAGATCTAGAATCAATACAGATCTTAGTATCTAACGAAGCTAGAATAAAAAACAAGACTGAAAAAAATTCTCCTTTTAGTTGTGTTGCAGAAAGTTCTCTAGATAAGAATACCAAAGATACAGTAAAAGAGTTGTTGACTGATCTTATAGATGGTCGGATCCGTGCATATTATGATTCTGATGTGAGTTTAACAAATTTAACACAAGCTATGTCAGGGTTTTCGAGTGTAGATAGTACAGGATACTATGATAGAACCCATACTAGTTATATAAATGCAAGTCAATATCACTTATTCCCTTCACATAATCTCACCCAATCTTAAGCCTGAGCTTTTAAAACAGGTTTATCAAGGGAGATTGAAAAGAAGTATCTATGGAAGACAAGAAGATCCAAACAGCTATAAAATGTAGCCAATTATTATTACAATTAGCAGGAATTAAGATTACTGAGGATACATTACTGCCATTTTATCAAAATATTAATTTTGGCCTAAAGGAACTTAATAAAACTTATGGAGTAAAATTAAAACAAAAAAAACTAGCATATAATAAACTAATAGCCAAGGATTTACCTTTAGCATTTCTTTCTACTGATGGTGAATATCTAATACTAGCTAAGATAGATAATCACCGTGGTTTAATACAACACCCGTTCAAATCCCATACTGAATTGTGGTCTAAGGAACAGCTGGGTAATTATTGGAGTGGCAAAGTTATTATTCTGTCTTCTGCATCATTAAAGTTCAATCTAACTTGGTTTGTTCCAGCTTTTTGGCAGCATCGTCGTATGTTAGCTGAAATATTGTTCTTCTCGCTCATACTACAACTACTAGCCTTAATACTACCTTTATTCTTTCAAATAGTGATGGATAAAGTTTTAGCTTATAAAGCCTATAATACTCTAGATGTACTGATTTTTGGTTTGGTGATTACTAGTATTTTCGAAACATTACTTAGAGGATTACGGGAATATCAATACACCCATACAGCTAATCGAATAGATATTTTACTTGGAGTTAAATTAGTAAAACATTTACTAGGATTACCTTTGCTTTATTTTAAAAATCGGCCAGTTGGTTCATTAGTAGCTCGTGTACGTCAGCTAGATAGTATTAGAGAATTCTTAAGCGGTTCCCTATTTACTTTGCTAGTTGATATTAGCTTTATAAACATATTTCTATTGGTAATGTGGATATTATCACCAGCATTAACTGCAATAGTACTTACCTCTATTCCTTTTTATGCCATTGTTGCTTGGTGCATTACCAAACCGCTACAGGATAGGTTAGAAACTCAATTCCAATATAATGCAGCTAATACTGCTTTTCTAACTGAAAGTATCACTGGAGCTGAAACAGTGAAAAGTCTGGCAGTAGAACCACGTTTATCTCAACGTTGGGAAACTCAAACCAGAGATCTAGTTAATGCTAGCTATTGTACTCAAATATTATCTTCTCTATCTAATCATATAGTCCAAGCTATTGGTAAACTAACTAGCATATTAATTTTATGGTATGGTGCTGAATCTGTTATTAATCTTGAAATCACCCTTGGCCAATTAATTGCCTTTAATATGTTGGCCCAGCATTTTTCTGGACCACTAGCTAAATTGGTTGAGTTGTGGGGACAATTTATTCAGGCCCAGGTAGCAGCGGATAAGCTTGGTGATATCTTGAATTTACCAATTGAACAAGAAACAGCAGGTACTCAGCAAAAATTAAAAGGTGATATTATTTTAGAGCAAGTAACATTTCGCTACCAACCAGGTGCACCTCTTGTACTACAAGCTGTTTCATTACATATTCGAGCTGGTATGCAAATTGGTATAGTAGGGGAATCTGGTTCCGGTAAAAGCACTCTGGCTCGGTTGCTATTGCGACTCTACTTACCAGAGCAAGGACAAGTATTATTTGACGGAGAGTCCCTTAATGCCCTTGATATACGTAATTTACGTCAGCAAGTGGCCGTAGTACTGCAAGAGAATTTTTTATTAAATCGTACTGTACGTGATAATATTGCTCTGTCACTTCCTCAAGCTTCCTTAGAGTCAGTAGTAAAAGCCGCAGAACTAGCAGGAGCGCATGACTTTATTCTGCGGTTACCTCTAGGTTATGATACAATATTGGCTGAAGGTGGCAGTTCTTTATCAGGAGGACAAAGACAACGTATTGCTATTGCTCGTGCCTTATTGATTGAACCTAGAATATTAATTTTTGATGAAGCAACAAGTAGCCTAGATGATGAATCTCAAGCTTTAATTCAAGGTAACATGGTTAAAATAGCTAATGGTCGTACGGTAATTACCATTGCTCATCGTTTATCTACTGTTCAGCATTGTGATTATATTGTAGTGTTGCATCAAGGCAAAATTATTGAGCAAGGAGCTCATGAAACATTATTAACATTAGGTGGTAAATATGCTCGTTTATGGCGATTACAACAAGATTTGAGTAAATGATGTATCTATCTCAATTCAAGCAAATAATGCGGCAACTATACGCCATAATATATACGTTAATGCAACGACTATATGCTGCTTGTCGTTTCGATCAAAGTAATTATGACCAATATGAGTTCTTACCATCTTATCTTGAATTGATGGAATCTCCACCTTCACCTACTGCTAGAATAACAGCTATTACTATAAGTATATTAGTCTTACTATCCCTAATCTGGGCTTATTGGGGACAATTAGATATTCATGCTACTGCTAATGGTCGGCTTGTCTTACCTAGTCGCTCACAACTGATTCAGCCTTATGAATTAAGTGAAGTAGTTGAGATTTTAGTAAAGGATGGGCAACATGTGAAAGCTGGAGATAAATTATTAGTTCTAAACATAGTAGGATTAGCTCAAGAGATTTGTCGTTGTCAAGAACAACAATCTTTTCAACAATTAGAGCTAACACGTTATCGAGCATTGCTTAGCGATAATCCTTTACAGAACTTAATAATACCCAATGATATTAAAGAATCTATAGCAGTAAGAACTAGAGCTCAGTTTACTAGTACTTGGCAAGAGCATCAAGCAATGTTACATAAGTTTGATGCTGAATTAGCAACTAATCAATCTAAACAGATAGCCAATCAAACAAGCCTAGCTGGAGTACAAAAATTACTGCATAATATTCAACAACGTCTAGTAGTAAGTCGTAAATTAGCAAAATCTAAGTTTGTCTCCCAAACAGAATTATTAATAAAAGAAAAGGAAGCATTAGAAACTGAATTATCAATATCTACTAAGCAAAAAGAATTAGAGATACTACAGGCTCGTGCTGATACACTTCGAAAGAATAAAGATAGTTATATAGCACAAAAACATCGAGAGTGGCATGATAATTTAAATAAAGCAGAATCTGCATTATTAATAGCAGAACAGGAATTAGTCAAAGCCCAAGATCGCGGCCGTTTACAAGTTTTACGAGCACCGTTAGATGGTGTGGTACAACAACTAGCCGTCCATACTATCGGTGGTATTGTTCAAGGAGCACAAATATTAATGATCATTGCTCCACATAATGCTCCTCAACAAGCAGAAATTGATATTGCTAATAATCATATAGGATTTATTCATCCTGGACAATCAGTTACAGTCAAGATTGAAGCGTTCCCCTATAGTCGTTATGGTACTATTAATGGTAAGGTGCTAAGCTTATCTCGTGATTCAGTTAAGCGAAATGAACATTATAATCCTGAATTAGTTTTTCCTGCTCAAATTGAGCTAGCCCAAAATTACATTATGATAAGTGGTAAACCGGTCATTTTAACTCCCGGTATGACTATCACTGCTGAAATTAAAATTGGTAAACGCCGAGTCATTGATTATTTACTTAGCCCAATTCGAGAGTATAAATCAGAAGCATGGCGGGAACCATGATTAAGGGAAAATATGGTATACCAGCAGTTATTAGAGCTGCTCAGAGCTTTCAGATAGTAGCAACAGAAGAATCATTACGTCATAGGCTTGGCATAGATTGCCAACAATTGACGGCCATGGATGTGTGTAGAGCAGCTAGGCAAGCTGGATTGCGAGCAAAATGGTATCAAAAGGTTAACATAAATATTGAAACATTACCATTACCAATATTAATTTGTTTTAATGGCCAATGGAGTGTTATTGAAAAGATTGAATCAAATGGATACTGGTTACGCTATGATTTAGCTACTCATCAGTTTTGTCAAGAGCCATTACCTGAACTCACTAACGATATAGAGATAGTGTTACTAGCTGAAAAGGAAGTACAGGTTACTGATGTTAAGTTTGGTATGCACTGGTTTTTGCCTTCAATATTACGTCATATAGGCCAGTTACGTGATGTATTGGTTCTATCTTTATTATTACAATTAATTACCCTAGTAAGTCCAATATTGTTTCAAAATGTTATTGACCAAGTATTAGTTAGTCGAGGACTGTCTAGTTTACATGTATTGGCACTTGCAATGTTGGCACTTACCATAGCTGAGCCTTTCTGTAGTTATTTACGAGGTAAGATATTTACTAACTTAGTTAGTAAAGTTAATTCTGAGCTTTCAGCCAGGCTATATCGCCATTTATTAACCTTGCCATTAAATTATTTTTATCAGCGACAAACTGGTCAAATAGTAGCTCGGGTACGAGAGATGGACCATATTCGTCAGTTTTTAACTGGCTCAGCTTTAATGTTGGTGTTAGATATTGTTTTTATTCTCATGTTTATAGCTGTAATGTTTAACTATGCTAAAACATTAGTTTGGTTAGTGTTAGGATCTTTAATATTATATGCAATATTTTGGCTGATAGTTAGTCCAATATTACGTCGTAGAGTTACCAAAGAATATGATGCCAGTGCGTTAGCTACAGCATACCTAACTGAAACTATAACCGGTGTGGAAGTTTTAAAAACTACTGCTACTGAGCCAGATTTTCTAAAACGTTGGCAACAAATTTTAGCTTGTCAATTACGTACTACATTTTTAGCTAAAAAAGTTGCTATTACTGCTAGTCAGGGCATTAGCTTAATACAAAAGCTTACATCTGCGTTATTATTATGGTTAGGAGTAAAGATTGTGCTTGTAGGTGAACTCACTGTTGGCGGATTAGTAGCTTTTAATATGTTAGCTAGTCATGTAACTCAGCCAATCTTACGATTAGCACAGATATGGCAAGATTTTCAGCATACTCTAATAGCATTGCGTCGTATTGGGGATATTTTAGATACTGAACCAGAAGCTGGTAATAAAGGCAAAGGCGTAGCCTCTGTACCAAAATTAAAAGGTAAAATAGAGTTTCAGTATGTACGTTTTCGCTATCAGGCCAATACGCCAGAAGTGTTAAGCAACCTATCTTTTACTATCCAAGCTGGTGAATTTATCGGTATTACTGGCCCATCTGGCTCAGGCAAAAGTACCTTAACTAGGTTATTACAGCGCCTATATATTCCTCAGCATGGACAGATTTTAGTAGATGGTATAGATATAGCAATTGCTGATCCGACCTCATTACGTTGTAACATGAGTGTAGTATTACAGGATAATATGTTGTTTGCTGGATCAATATTAGATAACATTAAGCTATGTTGTCCTGAAGCGAATGAAGGTGAAGTTATACAGGCTACAAAACTAGCTGCTGCGGATAATTTTATTAGAGCTTTACCGCAAAGATATCAGACCATTATCGGAGAAAGAGGTAGTGGTTTATCTGGTGGGCAGCGCCAGCGAGTAGCATTAGCTAGGGCTTTGTTAGTGGATCCACGGATTCTGATTTTAGATGAAGCTAGTTCTGCTCTTGATTATGAATCTGAAGCAGCAATTATGGTGAATATGGATCATATTTGTCATAATCGTACAGTAATTAGTATTGCTCATCGGTTAAACACTATTAGGCATGCTGACCGTATTTTGGTACTAGATCAAGGGGTGATCATTGAACAGGGAGCTCATGCAGAGCTTTTACAGCAGCAAGGCCTCTATGCTAAACTTTGGAACACTCAAACTAATAGTAGCGACTAATGAAAAAAATAAAGCAATACACTTGTTTAATAAAAGTAAAGGATTTACAAGTAAGAGTTTTATTAGACTGTTTCTAATCTGTTTTTATGGGGGCATTAAAATGGAGGTCTGTAATACGTTAAGAGCACGAGTTTAAATAACTTCCCTAAAGTATGGTAGTATGCTATAATGACTTTATGTCAGATAAAGTCGTTAGAACATTTTTTTTAGAAGAAGCAATACGTAGCAGTTATCAAAGCTTAAC